TTGGTAAGTAGGCGAATATATATTTTCTCTAAACCATTACTAATAATTATCACCGACGAGAGGGTCACATATTTTTCACCGCCGTAATTGAGAGATTGTTGACTTTTATGACAGAACCTGGCCACAAAAGTTGCACTTGGCTAGTGTCTCACTGCTAACAGTAAAAATGTTTCAGTTCCAAATAAATTATGGTTTTCTTTAAGAATTCGAATTGATTATTTCTATAGCCACATTGAACACACTGAATTGCAAAATTATACCTAAAATTATTGGTTATTTGTGGCCAGTAATTTTTGACTATAATTACACAACCACTTTGGAATGGAAGTTCTTAAATATTTCAATAGTAAAAAGTGCTTTTAAATTCATAGACAAATTCTGCAGAATTGACAACAATATAATATAGAAACATAAGGAATAATTTTTAATTCATTTTATGTTTTTTAATCAACCAATTAAATAATACAAAATAATAATAAATTACTTTATTTTAAAATATTTATGAAATACAATACAAAAAACACGTTAAATTAATACGTTGACGGACACAACCTGACTTGAAAAATTTCGTGTTGTGACCTTAAGTTTTATTATAAGAAATAAGTAGACTTAGAGTGGTGTACACTCTACTCGTCAAATTTAAGTGGAATAAGTATATAAGTTTGTAAAAAATTGATTTTTTTTAAATATTGGACTGAGCGCCCTCAGCTTAACAAAGCCGTCCTAAAAGGCGTTATAAGTTAATTTTTTTAATATTAAAACATAACTAAAAACTCACGTCTATGATACCTTCCACGTGGAGTCAATTAAATTATACATAGAGTTGTTAACCAAAAATACAATTGAAAAACATTTAAGGACGGTAAAGGTACCGAACCCAATTAATCCTGTTAATAGTGAACTATACTAAATTGTAAAAATTATACATGTTTTCAACGGTACAACAGGTGACAAGCGTACCTAAATTTGACATTTCACAGCAGATATATTTATTTATTTGTTTGTTTGTTTGTTTACAGTACGCTACAGATACATAAAGTTCTAAATGGTACATTTAAAATATCAATTAAAATAAAATAAAAAAAGAAATTAATACAATTGTCTCAGTATAAAAATGAAGTCAATAGTGTAATGAAAGTTGACGCTTTAAAGAAAACAAACCTGTGATAAAAATTTCATAATTTAAAAAATACTTATTGTAATTGTCTACATATAAATTGTGTCCATAGTTAGTCCTATGAGTATTTACATAAAATAAACGAATAAACTTAAGGTGGTTGCCGATAATACCCAAATGGGACAAATTGATTGATGCCTTGAAACAAACTGTCATAAAATTTGATATAAACAGATTGACACAAAACAATATAACAAAGAGCGTTCGAGTGGTTTTTGAGTCAACCCGAGTTAAACCAGATTTATCATCAAAAAAAAATATAATAATGAAAAGATGAACGAATATACTAGGCTTCTACGGATATGAACCATAGAGAGGTCCTAAGAAACCTAAGTATATTTGGTTTTCGGAAACTATTGAACATAGGAATTCGAGGAGGAGAATAAAGGGCAATGACTCTAAATCTATACTAGGCCAGAGAACTTGAAGTAAATAGACGTGAGTAGAGCATGACCCATATATGGCACCTAGTCGAAGAAAGAAGGGTAAATTAGAAAGGAAGGAAAAAAGAAAGAGTTAAAGAAAAGTGATAAAGTTATAGTAAAGACAAATTTTTACCTAGATCCATACTAGACAGTAACAAAGTTAAGTAAAGACACTTATTTCGTTTTTTTACGACACAGCTGTGTGCTGAGTTGCCTATTCTATGACCGGACAACTACATTGATTATGATGATAAGTATGGTCAACGAGTGGTAGGCTTCACAACTATCTAAGAAGCTGAAGTAACAAATAAGTAAAATGAAATAACATATTTAAATATTTTAAAACATTAGATTCCAGAGTGGAATAAAATGATTGAAGATCGCTTAATAACAAGTAAAGTTACACAATGTTAGGAAAAATTATAAGTAGAAATATATAATTGAGTAAGGGATGTGATTATTACTGAACTAAAAATAAAAATTAAGAATAAATGAATTGAAAGGAATTAAGAGTTTATTTCTAATTTAATTGTTGAGATTATTCTGATGATTCTGAACTTCTCTTGGCCGAACTTAATAACTTACACCATTTAATCACATTTACATTAGAAATAGATTCTAACAATTGAGGCGTTGATTTAAAAAACAGCATGAGTCCAAAAATTTAGTTTTGAGGAAATAGGAATAAACAGTTTACCTTGATGAACGTTCAACTTACTATCCTTATAATTATTTAGATACATTTTTAGGGGCGTAAGGGTTTTTACTACTGGTTGTTATCTGGTCTACCCATTTTTTTTTGTAGAAAAAAAAAGAAACAATTGGACCTATGTTGTTTTTGCCAGAATTAAAGGGACATGTGTTATTTTTATAAGAAACAAAAAAAATGTTATATGAAATCCGTTTATTACTTACAAAATATTGAAAATAAAATAGCTTTATTGAAATGAAAACTTGTACACAGTCTAATCTTCACAGCCACTGCTGTTGTCTTCATTATCGAGGTCTATGCATACTCCAGTCTGATCCCGGGAATCCGAATTTTATATTAAATTTAGTTTTAAAAATGTGCCAGTAAATTTTATAGAGAATGTTCCAGAAATATTCTCTCAGGAAACGTTTATGCATTTCTATAACTGTCAGAGATTCGCTTAAAAACATACGCTCTGGTGCGCTATTCTTGATCGTTCGTATTTTTCAAGGTCACTCGCAAGATCTTAATGTACGAGTAAAACAACAAGATGGTTATTCTTGACCATTCGCAGAACATTCGAGTATTCGTAGGAAACAACGAGCGGGTTCAGCCATTCGTAAATTAATTGCGTGCATGTTTTTATGTAACCTAACCACACATTTCTTTGAAAACAAGTTTATTAAACCTATTTTATGAAAAGTTATTAGTAGTGTTTCGTTGAAAATGGATGATTTACAATATATTGCTGATATTGAAAATTTAGAAATTGCTGAAGAGCCTTTGCAGAGACATAACCGTTTTCTAAATTTAAACCCTTTTGATATTCTGAGTGAACATCAATTTGTGTAGTATTTTAGATTAACGAAGGAATTATGCATATTTTTAATTAATGAATTAACGCCCTTTATGAGACCCCAAAGAAGAGCCACCGATTTAAACATTTCGACTAGAGTAAGTTTCATAAAAAAATATTTTAGTGTGTGAAGAAAACTAAATCGTACTTTTATAGGTTTTAGTGGCTTTAAGATTTTTTGCATCAGGAAGTTACCAGATGGATATTGGAAGGGGATTGTTTCTCTCAGTAGGCCAATCTTCTGTTTCAAGATGTATTAAGGAAGTTACTGATGTTTTGAATGAACCGGAAAATTTTAATAGATGGGTACATTTCCCTAGAAATTTTGAGGAACTAAATGCAGTCAGAACTCGGTATGTAATTTTTTCCTTTTATTCGTAAATTTAGATAAAATGATCATTATGTAGCTGTACGTTTTGTATACGCTTACATTCAAATCCTAGATTTAATGTAAATACGTATACATAACTTGGAAAAAATTTATATTTTGTAGGTTTTATGAAGATTTTAATTTTCCTGGTTTAGTCGGCTGTGTTGATTGTACACATGTAGCGATATTTACTCCAAAAATTGAAGATGAAGAATTTCCAGAATTTATATATGTAAATAGAAAAGAATACCGTTCAATAAATGTTCAGTTAGTTAAGTAAAATACATTACAGACACAGAAATAAAATTTTACATATTTAAATTATTCAGGTGTATGACAGCAAATTAAGAATAATTAATGCAGTTGCACGATATCCTGTCAGCAGTCATGATTCTTATATTTGGGAAAATTCAAATCTAGCAGAACTGATGCGGAACCTGCATAATAATGGGCATACAGATTATTATTTATTGGGTAAGGATATTGATAAAACAATTCGTAGGTACATTTTAAAAGATCAAATCTTTTTTATTCAGGTGATAGTGGATATCCACTTAGAACATGGCTGTTTACTCCATTAGAACAAGAGCCCTTGGAAAATACTCCAGAATATGCCTACAATATAGCTCATAAAAGAACTAGGAATATTATTGAACGTTGTAATGGAGTACTAAAGATGAGATTTCGATGCTTATTAAAAAATAGAGCACTACATTATACACCCACTGTGGCCTGCAGAATTATAAATTCTTGTATTGTACTTCACAATATATGTATTGAGCATAACATTCCAATGCCAGAGGCTGAACCCGTAAATATTGATTTTGGGGTTATCTTTCAACAAAATATTAACGAAAATGAACAGATACCACTAAGAAGAGTAAATCCAGAGCTTCCTGCAGGAAGGACAGCAAGACAAAGATTAATAAACAATTTTTTTATGCATAATTTTTAATTGTACCTATTCGATTCTTTTACTGAGATTCTTTTTGTTAATAAAATAATTTCAAAAATTTTATAGTTACTTTATTTCATATGAAAATGTTCAAAATAAAAAAAAAATATTACATAAAAATGAAGTGAATGGTAATCGATTACCCTACACAAACAAAAATGTTACAATCAAAACTATGGAGAACAAATCAACAAATTGCATCAATTAAGGATTCCACTGCACATTTGAGTTCACCCATTTTCTCTGCAATGTTTTGTTTAGCTGCAGCAGATGTTTCTTTAGCTGCAGCAGATCTTTCTTTTGCCACTGCAATACGCTCTTTAGCAATGACATTTCTCTCTAATAGAGCTAATTTTTTATTAAAATAATCAGCTATAAGTTTATTTATTTATTTATTTTTTTTTTTTCTAAAGAAACCCTATAATTCTCCGATGCCTGTGCTGCATAAACTAATTTTTTTCTAGGGGCTCGAGGAACAAGTTTCTGTTTTGGGGCAACAATGCTTGCATTTTCTGCAGCTACAGAATTATTTTGGTCTCGTACAACAGTACTTGGCTTTGCCGTTATTTGTGTCTTCTTCTCTAACGAATGACATATCACATTCTTCATCTATTAAAAAGCTTTCATCTCCAGAATTAGAATTGGAAACATGTGGAACAGACTTATTTGAAAAAGCAGTTGACGATTCTACACTTTCTATATGTCCATGCATGGATGTAACATTTATTGTATCCAATACTTGTTTTTCGAATGGGGTAACAAAATTGTCAATGAAAGGGCCGCCCCCCGTACCTCCCAGCTGTCTTTTAAACTTCATAGTTTTATTTTTAGTTCTACATCGGATATCCTGCCATGTCTAAAAAAAGAATAATTCTAAATATCTCTATGAAATATATTAAATAAGATTTGTTACCTTTCGCCATGCTTTCCAATCCTTATAGGCTCCATCCCCGCAGCTATTTAACGTTTTAGTGACTTCCTGCCAAAGTTGTTGAGCATCTTTTTGAGAAAAATCATTGGAAAATTTTCCGGACTCAAGTTCAGAATTTTTTTTGAAGAATTCCAATAAAACTCTTTTTTGTTCCGCCGATGCATTAGCAGCTCTTCTTATGTTTAGTTGCTTTTCTTCCATATTCATGAATTCTTTCTTGATCGATTTAAATAATAATATATAACCGGACAATATTTTCGCTTTAACACACCACAAACTGGAATATCAAAATGACATGAGACATGATTGACAAATATTTAACATGGACATATGACTGTTATGAAGTTAGGGCTAAGAAAAATGCGATGTTGCCGGTAGCCGAATAGCACATGTTCGCAAGTTTCTGCGAGCGGTGCTCAAGAATAGCGTATTAGCGAAATGATCGCAACTAGACCGTTCGTAATGTGCGTGTACGTGTAAGTTGCGAACGATGTCAAGAATAGCGCCGCTGGGTTCTTGCGCCGAGTATAATGCGACTGTCTTGGTTGAAAACTGTTGATATGATATTCGATTACATTAAGTACTTCGGTCGGGCATGCAGTGGTTCGGTTTGAATGACGTCCTCTTAAATCGATTGGTGAAGTACCATGAGTCACTAAACTGCCATAAATTCGTCGTAATGCCATGCAAATTCATAAAAGCTGTTTTACCTACCAAGAGCTCCCTTCCAGTATGTCTTATTTTGAAGGAAAAGGATGCTGAGTGGGGGTTTTGCCTTATGGTATATTGCCTCTTGCTCTACGCCTTCCAATGAACTTTAAAGTGATCACACCAGCTAGATGAGAATCCTGTGCGTTTTTTTAAAGTGTTTTAATTTTTTTGTTGTATTCAGATTTTATCATAATAACTGTTTTATTACACCTATCCGCTGATAAAATTAATATGTTAGTATTATCCTCTAGAAATTTTTTTGTTTATGAAGGTAATTAAATTGATTTTTTGTTTTATTTTTAAACATTTTTAATTTTTGTTCATGATTGGTGATTATATTGATAACTTTATTTCTAATATCATTTTTATTTGCAATTTTTAGATATGATAGACCATTTTCAATAGTGGCTATAATTGTATTAGTTGGTAACACTAAAGTTGGAATGGAGAATTTTGGTCCTAGACTTAAGAAATATTTTACTTTTTCAGGAAGTACTATTTGTGTTTGATTATGGAACCAGTTTTTATTAAAATTATTAGAATCCTTTGTGCGATGTTGTTTTCTTATTAATAAATCAATTTTGTTTTTATTTTGCAGTTTAATTTTTTGAAAATTTTGTTCAAATTTTTGATGTTCGTTGTAAAGGAAATTTTGTATATAACCGTGATCATATTTTTTGAAATTTACCTTTGCAAACTTTCGTCTTAAAAACGTAAGATTTATCTTTTATTTTTATAAAGTTGGGAACCAATTGTAAGTTTTTACATCTCATAAGGAAGATTCTTCTGTTTTTTTTTATCCATCTGTTCCATAAAAATAACAACTCTATAAATAATAAAACTGGCATAAAAGATTTGTCAAATGTTTATTTTAAAATTATTATATAATGTTTGTAAAAACTCATCTTTTTGTTTTCCTACTTTATAGTGAAAAATATAATACGATTTGAAAAATCGTTTTTAAAAAAAAGTATATTTATTTAAACAACAAGTACAATATTTTTATGACTTTATTAATTGCAAGCTAACATCAGACAGAGGGTAAAATAAAAAAAAAATTTAAACACTTGTTCAGAGATAACAAGTAACTTGAACTGCCGGTTGGTAGAATTCTCGAAACTTCTCGACAGAGGTCAGCGGTTTCTATTATGTAATTCATGTTAAACCAAATCATTATTTCGAATACACCTTCACACTCTGAAACAGAAAGATGGGGTTTCTGTTATTTTTAAAAAAATCAATTTATTTGTAATCATCCCCATGTTTTTTAAATTTTGATTGCGCCCGAAGAAGGAAGAGTTTTCTTAAACATATGTAGTGATGTGCTAAACAGTGGAGAATAAAAACATCCGAATAAACCAAGGAAATTTTTTTTATATCAAATTTTGTCTGTTTCTTTATGCAGTAGCACTTTTTTATGATTTAAGTTGTTTTCGTGCCTTTTCAGATGGAATCTTGAGCCACTTAATTTTATAGTGCATATTTTGCAAAATAAAAAATCCTTTTGAGGCATCAATCCATGTGAACTCATTATATATTTTTAAGCAGATATATTATATTTGCTTTTTTGCTTTACAAACACTAGCTCCATCCTCTTCCCCACTTTCTGAACAACTTCTTGAGGATCATGTAAGGTTGTCTGTATCGTTTTCCATAATACTCTTTGATAATGGTTCATCAGAGACAAAAACAATGGTAGTGTCTGAACCCGAAAGATGTACAAGCCCCTTGAATCCCAGATGTGAAGCCTCCTGAAAGTCCTGAACCCCAGAAGACATACAAGACCCTATGTCCATGTAATCTTTTTTGTCTTTAAATAGTTCGTAAATTATTACCTCCATTTTTTTCTAAGTAGTAGCAATGCTTAATATAATTTTTACAAATGTTACTAGGCAAATTGGTGTTAAAAACTAGTAGAACTCCTTTAAAAATTTGATTTATTAGCTAATAAAATTTTATCTACATCACTGCTTATTAAATTAACTTCATTCGTTAAATTATTGATATCTGCTTTTAACAAGGATAGAGAACTATTGATATTTTTCTGAAAATCATAAAATTTTTGTAGCACATTATTAATGTTAAATTCAGTATCGGTTGACGAGGGCATAGTACAAAGTTGAGCTGAAAGTTCCTCTATACCATTAGCAAAAAGGGTATTAATTTTGCAACTTTTCACTTTGCACTTTGCAAAGGACCCCGCACAAAAAGATAGAAAATGCACTCTCGGTCAAATTGTCTGAATTTTTGATGTTATACATTTTGTCATCCTGAACAAAAGTCTCAATGGGCACTAAGCTCCAAAGTCCATGGTTTGGCTCCTATGGAGCTCCGAAGCTTCGTGACTCCACCATAGTATAGAAACCTCTAAAACGCATGTCAAAAATCATATTTTAATTATTTTAATGTATGCCCTTAAGTTTTTGAGGATGCTGAATTGAAATATGATGTCAAATCCATAATATTGGCAATTGACAGCTGTCAAACAGCTGTCAAATGCTTTAAAACAGAAATCTTATATTAAAAAATGTTATATGTTTTTGAGGACGCTGAATTCAAATAAGATGTCAAATCGATAATATTGACAGTTGACAGCTGTCAAATAGCTGTCAAACGCTTCAAAGAAAAACAAATCTTGTATTAAAGAATGTTATCATATGTTTTTGAGGACGTTGAATTCAAATAAGATGTCAAATCGATAATATTGACAGTTGACAGCTGTCAAATAGCTGTCAAACGCTTCAAAGAAAATCAAATCTTATATTAAAGAATGTTTTCATATGTTTTTGAGGACGCTGAATTTAAATAAGATATCAAATCGATAATATAGACAGTTAACAGCTATCAAATAGCTGTCAAACGCTTCAAATAAAAACAATCTTATATTAAAGAATGTTATCATATGTTTTTAAGGACGCTGAATTTAAATAAGATGTCAAATCGATAATATTGACAACTGACAGCTGTCAAATAGCTGCCAAACGCTTCAAAGAAAATCAAATCTTATATTAAAGAATGTTATCATATGTTTTTGAGGACGCTGAATTTAAATAAGATATCAAATCGATAATATAGACAGTTAACAGCTAGCTGTCAAATAGATGTGAAATAGCTGTCAAATGCTTAAAAAAAAATCTCATATTAAAGGATGTTATCATATGTTTTTGAGGACGCTGAATTCACATGTGATATCTCTTCACAAAATAATAAAACTTACTTTCTCTTTTTATACCCCCGTACTCTGCTTTACCCAGGATCAACGACGTGGACGGGACGGGACCGGACCTGACCCCTCTGTGTGCGTGTGTGTGTGTGTGTGTGTGTGTGTGTGTGTGTGTGTGTGTGTGTGTGTGTGTGTGTGTGTGTGTGTGTGTGTGTGTGTGTGTGTGTGTGTGTGTGTGTGTGTGTGTGTGTGTGTGTGTGTGTGTGTGTGTGTGTGTGTGTGTGTGTGTGTGTGTGTGTGTGTGTGTGTGTGTGTGTGTGTGTGTGTGTGTGTGTGTGTGTGTGTGTGTGTGTGTGTGTGTGTGTGTGTGTGTGTGTGTGTGTGTGTGTGTGTGTGTGTGTGTGTGTGTGTGTGTGTGTGTGTGTGTGTGTGTGTGTGTGTGTGTGTGTGTGTGTGTGTGTGTGTGTGTGTGTGTGTGTGTGTGTGTGTGTGTGTGTGTGTGTGTGTGTGTGTGTGTGTGTGTGTGTGTGTGTGTGTGTGTGTGTGTGTGTGTGTGTGTGTGTGTGTGTGTGTGTGTGTGTGTGTGTGTGTGTGTGTGTGTGTGTGTGTGTGTGTGTGTGTGTGTGTGTGTGTGTGTGTGTGTGTGTGTGTGTGTGTGTGTGTGTGTGTGTGTGTGTGTGTGTGTGTGTGTGTGTGTGTGTGTGTGTGTGTGTGTGTGTGTGTGTGTGTGTGTGCGTGCGTGCGTGCGTGCGTGTATGCGTGTGCGTGAAAGAAAGAACAGAGAAAGATTTAATATTTATGGATCTATGATTTCAATGTTATTTAAATCAAGATATGAGGATAAGACATTTCTCAGAAGTTGCAAAGAAGGGTAGTTAACGTTTTGATTGTGTCTGGCATACCCTAAGTACCAAAGTATGCATGCAACATGTGCACATGTCCCTAGAGTTCTCGTTCCAACCTTACAAGTGCAATAATAACCAAGAATAGGTTCAGCTTGCTCAACATTCTCATTATCATTTCGTGAAACAAATTCTTTGTTAAAGTGTATCCAATCTCGGTGAGATTTTGCATTTGAAAACCTAGAAAAAACACGAGCTAAAAAACACGAGCTCTAAAAAATCCAGGTTCTAAACATTACCGTTCGTCACTTACACCTTGGCGCAACTTACACAAAAAGCATATGAGATCTTTTTTTTTTTATATATCGATGTCCACCAGGAATCGGTACTGGATCACAGTATGTAAATAGATCATTAAAATTCTCTTTATTAATACCAGCTATAGCAAAAAATTCTTAGTCAAAAATTAATAATTCATTTTTGTA